TTCGATTCCGGTCAAGGGCATGTACCTTGGTTGCGGGCACATCCCCAGTAGGGGGTGTGCAAGAGGCAGCTGATCGATGACTCTCATCGATGTTTCTAACTTGCTCTCTCTCTCCCTTCCTCTCTGTACAAAATCAATAAAATATATATTAAAAAAAAAATTCTTTAGGGAAAATAAATAGGTGACAGATGCTTTGAATCATGATTAATTATTGATTATATGTATTTTAGTCCTTTTGTTGTCTCTTAAGTTTTTAACATTTACTAATACTGCTAATTCCCTAATTAAATGTCTTCCTACAAAATAAGACCCTCTACAGAGAACTTCTTTAGGAGTTAAGTATACAGCTCTGGCCCAGATTCCTAGCTTGAAATCCTTGCTTTACTAGCTATGTGGCCTGAGATGAAATCCTTTAGCTCTCTGTACCTCTGTGAAAAGGAAATATCACTCCCATCTCAGGATGGAACCCTGCTTAGGCACATATTTGTTGCTTGGCCCACAAGATATTTATTACATTGAACTCAGGAGGTTTTATGAGAATTATATATGTACATTAACTATTTTAGTAACACCTCACAATGGGTTTTTCATCCCTTTAGTTTTGATGTGCCCTATTTTTTTATTTTTTTAATCTTCACCCAAGGATATTTTTTCCATTCATTTTTTTTAAACAGCTAAAATTTTTTTTTAATTTATTGATTTTTTTAAAGAGAGGAAGGGAGAGAGATAGTTAGAAACATCGATGAGAAAAACATCGATCAGCTGCCTCCTGTACACCCCCCACTGGGGATGTGCCTGCAACCAAGGTACATGCCCTTGACCGGAATCGAACCTGGGACCCTTGAGTCCATAGGCTGACTAAACTGGTTTCGGCTTCCACTGATTTTTTAGAAAGAATGGGAGGGAAAGACAGAGAGAAATACTGATGTGAGGAAAAACACATTGACTGGTTGTCTCCTGCACTTGCCCTGACTAGGGCCCCAGCTGGGGAGGAGCCTGCAACCGAGGTACATGCCCTTGATTGGAAATAGAGCCCAGGACCCTTCAGTCCACAAGATGACACTCTATCCACTAAGCCAAACTAGGTAGGGCCACTATCATGTACCCCGATTTTTAATGTAAAGGTAAAAATAAAAACCATGGGAGTAGCCCTGTGCTCAGTGGTTGCAGCATCAGCCTGAGCACTGAAGGATTGTGGGTTGGTTCCCTGCCCTGACTGGGTGCGGGAGGCAATCAGTCATTGTGTCTCTCACAGGATATCTCTCTCTCTCTCTCTCTCTTTCTCTCTCCCTCTGAAAATGCAACGGGAAAAATATCCTCTGGTGAGGATTAACAAAACAAACAAAAATCACCAGACAGTGTGGCTCAGTGGTTGAGCATCAGCATCTGTCCTCAGATTCCAGCGAGGACACATGCCCGAGTTGAGGGCTTGATCCCGGTATGGGGCATACAGGAGGCAGCCGATAGATGCTTCTTTTCTCTCACCAATGTTTCTCTTTCTCTCCTTTCCTATCTCTCTAAAAATCAATAAAACATATTTTTTTTAATTACCTAAATATATTGCAAGTAGTAAAGGATAAATACCATTTTACAAAAGTTTTGTTTCTGTTATATATACATGGTACATATATGTCCGTTATTACATAAAATGTATTCCTTACAGTGGTTTGCTTCTGAAAAGTGGGAACCTCTGAATTATTAATAACACAAAATAAAGCTTCGAGCCCTAGCCGGTTTGGCTCAGTGAATAGAGCGTCGGCCTGTGAACTGAAAGGTCCCAGGTTCGATTCTGGTCAAGGGCACATGCCCGGGTTGTGTGCTCCATCCTCAGTGGGGGACTTGCAGGAGGCAGCCGATCCATGATTCTCTCTCATCGTGGATGTTTCTATCCCTCCCTCTTCCTCGCTCTCTGAAATCAATAGAAACATATTTTTAAAAATAAAAATAAGAAAATAAAGCTTCAAACCTTGCCTGGCACATAGTAAGCACTGAGTGCTATTATCGTCATTGCTGCTGTGGTGCACCTGCCTGTGTAAAGGTGTCTGTAGGAGTATGCAAGGGGCAGTGTTAAAGCACTGAAGCATCTGGAAATGTGATGTGAATGTGAGTTAGAGGAAGAAAAAGGTCCTTCTCTCCATGTCTAACACCCACACAAGCAGAACCAGGTGTGTTGCCTGGTCCACAAGTAATTTATTACATTGAACTGAGGAGTCCACAGACTACACGGTATCTGTCATGCTCTGTCAATATTTGCAGAGAAAAGGAGACGTGGCGCCAGTGTAAAATTATTTATTTTTACCTGGTTGGGGTGGGGAAGGCATAGCCATTGGTAGCTAAAGGAAGCAAGTGAGTCATGGAGAGAAATTGCATGCTCCCTAGAGCCAGGTAGACTCCAAGGTGCCACCAACGAGGCAGGACTGACAGATACATAGGCCTTTGTGCAGGGCTGAATCACTTCTCCTCCCTACCCTCACCCAGAAACCTCATAAAAAACAACACTGAGGCCATCACAGGTGTAGCTCACACCAGGAACCACCGGGGATCCCCAAATAAGCACAAACGGGGGGAAACTACCCACCAAAAGGCTACGGGGGGGGGGGGGGGGGGGGGGATTCCTTTAAACGACAAGCTCACCTAAACGCTCAGACAGCATTTAAATTGTGAAATTCTAATTTACAGAAAAACTTGGAAATGTGCTCACCCATAAGGAAAAAAGGAGTTCTGGATTCCATCCTTGACACTGTGACCTTGGATGAATCATCACTTCATCTCCCTGTGCCTAAGGGAATCCATCTGTTGAGAGAGAGAGAGAGAGAGAGAGAGAGAGAGAGAGAGAGAGAGAGAGAGAGAGAGAGAGATATCACCATAATACCACCTACCTCAGAGGATCATGGTAAATAAAAACCAGACGGTTTGCAGTAAAATGCCTGGCACCAGACCTAGCGCTGGTCCGTGCACAGTCAACGCCTGTCCCCTGAGTCTAGGCTCAAAGTGACCCCCAGTCGTGGCAAACGGAGAGTCCCTGTCCAACCTGTCCCCTGGGGGGGTTGGGGGGGCGGCCATGGGCATCTTAGCCGCTTCTATGCAATTGTCTGTCTGCAGGATTTCAAAGGCCATTTCTCGGTCTTCCCAGCCCAGCAGCCCAGCCTGAGCGAGACTAGGAAGGCAGACATTCCCATCCCATTCCTCCAGGCAGGGATCCCTAAACGCTTTGTTTCCTGGGGTCCCAGCCCTGTGGGTAGCTCGCATCAAATTTAACATGAGCGACAGACTCGGTGTTATGCCTACATTTTACAGTTCAGATTCCCGGATCAAAAATCACGAGAGCCGCATTAAAACCCGCCCCCACCCACCCCGGTGGGACCGCCGTGTGGGGGTCCGAGGACTCGCGGGGCAGCGACGGCCCCGACCACAGGCACCGGGGGTGAGGGGGGGGAGTGGGGGGGGGGCGACGGAGACGCATTCTAGAGCTTTCACGATAACCCCGACTTCTCGTTGGCGCCGAACCCGGACCACGTGCGGCCATTTTGTGTTGAGGAAAAATGGCGGCCGCCCCCGTGGGGAAGGAGACGGCGGGGTGGGGGGGGGAACAGAGTCAGCGGTTAGCCGCTCGCCCTGAGGGAGCCTGAGGCGCTTTGCGCAAACAGCCTTTTCGGTCCGGCTTAGCTGACGGGAAGGGCGAGGGGCAGACGCCATAACCGGCACCCCGGCGGCGCCGGCGGCCTTTCTTTGGCGGAAGGAACGTGCCGCAGCGTCTGCGGCAGGAAAAGCCTCCCAAGATGGCGGCCGAGCGAGCGCCGCCCCCGGAAAGCGCGGGGCGCGGCGGCGGCACCCAGCGGGGCAAGGGCGGCCTGAGCCGGGAGGGGACGCCGCGAGGGCTCCCCCAAAGCTCGGCTCGGCGCCCCCACGAGTAAAGAGGCACGCCATTGTCTTAAGTAGCTGAGGGGGCTGCCACATCTTAAAGCGCCACTAGGGCAGGAGGTGGGGTTTCTGCGGGTTTAACCGAAAGAAACTTGCAAACAAAGCATTATGTAAATGGACGCCATTCTTTCAGGGCCACGTTTCTAGCACTTTCCTGAAACCACGAGCAGAGCCGCAACTTGGGCGGCGGCTGGGGGTGGGTTTCGGTCTTTTTCCTCACCGGCCATGGGGCCGAGGCCTAGGCCGGGTGGCGGCTGGCGCCCCGCGCCCAGACGCCGGGGACGAAGGAGTCCCACGTGCCCGCCCGCGCGCCCGCCCCGAGACCGCGCCTCGCCTCCCCTCCCCCCCGGAAGGCCGCGCGGCCCCTCCCGGCCCCCCCGCAACCTCGCGCACGCGCTGTGGCCGCCTTACGCGCACGTTTTAAATCCGCGGCGTCCCAGCTGCCGCCTGCAGTCACCGCCGGGCCTGCCCTTGTTCCTCCGGGCCCAAACTGCCTTGGTCCGGCGGCAAAATAACGTGTCGTCCCCGTTCACAACACTGACATGTCCAACCATCTACCGGTGCCGCTAGGGTTAGTAGAATAAATATGTGTTTTTAAAAATTTGCCGGACTCACAGTGTCTGCCCATCGGAGCTTTATATTCAAGGCCAGGTGGTTAAAAAAAATTTTGTAAAACTACCATCTGGAGACTGGCGCAATCTCGCGACCTAAAAAAGACGGGTCCTCATTTTTTTTCAAGGGGTCCTGCGCGGCAAGCACTTCCGGGGTCAGAGGGTACGCGAGGTTGAAAGCGGGCTTCCCGCCCCGCCCAGACCGCCGAGGCTGCCGCCGGAGTCGCCACCGCCGCGCCCTCGCCCACCCGCCTGCCCGCCGCTCCCGGCCCCGCTCGCCCCCTCCGCCGCCGCCGCCCGCCCCTGCGACGACGCCGCGGCCTCCCGCCCGCGCCCGCTCGCTCCCGCGGCCCTCGCTCGCCTCGCGCCGGCAGTTTTGGGCCTACGCCTCCCCTCCCCCCGCGCCAGCCACCAAAGACTTGACCACGTAACGAGCCCAACTCCCCCGAACGCCGCCCGCCGCTCGCCATGGATGCCGGTGTGACTGAAAGTGGACTAAATGTGACTCTCACCATTCGGCTGCTGATGCACGGAAAGGAAGTGGGCAGCATCATCGGGAAGAAAGGGGAGTCGGTTAAGAGGATCCGCGAGGAGAGTGGCGCGCGGATCAACATCTCGGAGGGGAATTGCCCGGAGAGAATCATCACTCTGACCGGGCCCACCAATGCCATCTTTAAGGCCTTCGCTATGATCATCGATAAGCTGGAGGAAGATATCAACAGCTCCATGACCAACAGCACGGCGGCCAGCAGGCCCCCGGTCACCCTGCGGCTCGTGGTGCCGGCCACCCAGTGCGGCTCCCTGATCGGGAAAGGCGGCTGCAAGATCAAAGAGATCCGCGAGAGCACCGGGGCCCAAGTCCAGGTGGCGGGCGATATGCTGCCCAACTCCACCGAGCGGGCCATCACCATTGCTGGCGTGCCGCAGTCTGTCACCGAGTGTGTCAAGCAGATCTGCCTGGTCATGCTGGAGACGCTCTCCCAGTCTCCGCAAGGAAGAGTCATGACCATTCCGTACCAGCCCATGCCGGCCAGCTCTCCGGTCATCTGCGCGGGCGGCCAAGATCGGTGCAGCGACGCTGCGGGCTACCCCCACGCCACCCACGACCTGGAGGGACCACCGCTAGACGCCTACTCGATTCAAGGACAACACACCATTTCTCCGCTCGATCTGGCCAAGCTGAACCAGGTGGCAAGACAACAGTCCCACTTTGCCATGATGCACGGCGGGACCGGATTCGCCGGAATTGACTCCAGCTCTCCGGAGGTGAAAGGCTATTGGGCAAGTTTGGATGCATCTACTCAAACCACCCATGAACTCACCATTCCAAATAACTTAATTGGCTGCATCATCGGGCGCCAGGGCGCCAACATCAATGAGATCCGCCAGATGTCCGGGGCCCAGATCAAAATTGCCAACCCGGTGGAAGGCTCTTCTGGTAGGCAGGTTACTATCACTGGTTCTGCTGCCAGTATTAGTCTGGCCCAATATCTAATCAATGCCAGGCTTTCCTCTGAGAAGGGCATGGGGTGCAGCTAGAACGGTGTAGGTCCACTCATAACCTCTTTCTGCTGTTTTTCCCATGATCCAAATGTGTAATTTCTGGTCAGTGATTCCAGGTTTTAAATAATTTGTAAGTGTTCAGTTTCTACACGACTTTATCATCTGCTAAGAATTTAAAAATCACCTTCTCTGTTCAGCTGTTAATGCTGGGATCCATATTTAGTTTTATAAGCTTTTTCCCTGTTTTTAGTTTTGTTTGGGTTTTTTTGGCTCATGGATTTTATTTCTGTTTGTCAAAAAGAAATGTAAGAGTGGAATGTTAAGAAACTTCAGTTTAGTTCTGTAATGTCAAGAATTTAAAAATTAAAAAGTGGATTGGTTAAAAAAAAAAATGCTTCGTATTTGAAAAAGCTGGGAACTGCGATCTTAAACTCTTTGTTGGTGCCTTTTTTCCCCTTCCCTTTTAGCGTTAGGCATTTGCAGTGAGAAACGTGGGCCCATCCTTGGTATCCTCTCAAGCCCTTTGCATCTTATTGGTGAGATTCCATTTCCTCTCCGTCCCAACAAAGGAACACTGCAGGCTGGGCCTGCTTTGGAATATTTGCAGAGACATAGGTTCTCGCTGGGAGAGTAACATCCCTCCCTTCCTCCCTCCACCCAAGTTCCAGAGAGAGGCCTCTGCCCGTTTCTCTGGTAGAAAACGTGCCTTCTTAGATGGAAAAAGTATGCCCACTCGCTAGGACCTCTGAATGGCCCTGTGTCCTCTGGTCTCAGCCCCATCCCCACCCCCAATCCCACTGGAAAACTTAGGAACAAAAAAATGTTCTGAGGTGGGAGGAGCCCCAGGGGACCCGGAGCGGGGGGGGCTGGGGAGGAAGGGAGAGGCTGAGGTGGGGGGAAGGGAAAGGGGCAAGGGTGGGTTGGAGGATTTGGAAGAGGGCATCTGCTAGAGGCGGCGGTGGTAGGGATAGAAGGGTTTTGGTTGGGCTGCAGGACTGAATGAATGGGGGATGGTACCAGCGGGGCACACGTGTCATGTAGGCAGGCACCTGTGGCAAGCAGCCTGTCAGAGGATGTTATTACACCTGCCAAGTGGCGTATCCAGAAACAAAAGAGGCCTAGCTCCTAATTCTTCAGCTGTGTGCAATATTTAGAGAAATCATTATACCGGGAAATAATCCTGCCTAAATGGGGCAGTCTCAAAGGCAGGAATGTAGGCTGAGCCATTGGCTAAGTCCTGAGAATGACCTCGGTGTTAAACATGTGGATTCTTAGTTTCTGCCCCAAATTTAGGCTGCATTTTTAAAACTCCAAAAGGCTCTTAGGTTTGTTTGAGGGCCGCTGATTCTCTTCACCAGTGAATTGGGAAAATCCTGCTGGAAGGCTCATGTCCACATCAGCCAGTGGGACCAGGCTGGGCCTGCTGAGAGAAGGAAAAGGATCATTAGGCAAATATACACTAGAAACAACAGTACAAGACAATAGACAATTAAGTGCCAAATTGTAGCTCAAACCCCAGGCACTGGGAGATCCCTGACGGGAAGAAGAATTCTGTCGGAAGGAGAACTTTATCCATGATAAGTATATATTGAGACTTACTCTACAGGGCATCGGCTCCTTTTTTCCTGAGGTACAGGCCTGATTCTGAGGGTCCCTGGAGGTAAGATTGGGGTCTTCCATATACTCTACATCCACATCATCACTGAAAGAAGCCCAGATTCTGGAGTGAAACCTGAGTTCAATTTTGAGTTCTGCTACTTGTGGCCTTGGGCAAATTATTCCACTTCAGTATAAAATGGTGGTGAAAGTACACCTCCTGGGCTTAGGGGGGGAGAGGAAGGGGGGATAAAAGCATACATTTAAAGCAAAAGCACAACACAATAAACTTAAATATGCTTTAGATTGCACAGAGCCCACTTCTGCCCACAATATATTTGGGCACAGGAGAAAGATTAAAAGGTAGAGAACAAAGCAATGTATCCTAAATAAGCTAACACAGTTGGACTGAGGGGCCAAGACAGGTAAAGGAGGTCCTACTGAAGACCCAGGGATGGGTTAAGTGTCTCCTGAAAATAAGCACAAATTAAGTTTGCATCAGGCAAGAAAGGAGTGAATCATTGGGCTGGCCCCTCACACACCAAGGCAAGTCATTTATGAGGAATCCCTGAAACTTGCTGGGTCTAACAGATTTGATTGAACATGTTATGTACAAAATGAATTAAAACTTGATGCTTTGGTACAGTTGGAAGCTATATAGTAGCTCATTGTAGTTAGAGTATGGCCTGTGGTCAATGGAGGGAGAGGAGGTGGAGGAAACCATTAAATCATTTGAGGCTAAATTATAAACAGCCTGGAGTGCCATAAGAAAGGGTTTGAGCTTTATTCTAAAACCCAGTGAGCTCCAAACATTTTCTTTAAATGTACCCCTTCAGTAACAAGTCTTTAACATACATATATCCTTAGTATATGTTTGAGTATTTATAAATTACATATACGTATACTAGTCATGCTTATTTATAAACCATATACAAGCATTAAATGAAAATATATTTTTTAAAAATAAAAACTTAAGTGTAAATAGTTAAGTAAACAAATTGAAGCCCCACTGGCAAGGTTCAGTGGTTGAGCGTCTATCTATGAACCAAGAAGTTATGGTTTGATTCCTGGTCAGGCCACATGCCCAGGTTTCGGATTCAGCCCGCAGTGGAGGGGGAGGATGCAGGAGACAGCTGATTGATGATTCTCATCATTGATTTTCCATCTCTCTCCCTCTCCCTTCCTCTCTGAAGTCAATAAAAATATATTCAATATATATATATATATATATATATATATATATTTTTTTTATTTTTTTTTTTTTTAAAAACACAAACAAATTGAAATCTAATTTCTAATAGTTATTTTTACCCCTTCCCTCTGGTCATTTTAGAGACCACTTGAAGGGAATACTGGGGAAAACAATTCCAATGTCATAGGTATCCTTGGGGAGTAGAATTTCAGAAGAGGGATGAGGAAGCCAAATTGTACCAAGACAGGAGGGACTGGGTAGCTGGCTCAGAACTTGGTGGTGCAAAGGAAATAAAGAAATAGGACAACTTGAGGGGGAAGAATTGGAGAAACGGGTTTTTTTTTTTTTTGGGGGGGGGGTTGTTTTTTTTAAAGGAACCTCACTAAGGTGGATAATAGGAACTCAATAGAGGTTGAAAAAAAAGCTGCAGAAAGGACTGGCTAGAAGAGTTTTGGAGCAGTAAATATCAGATGCCAGGCCAGTTTAACTATCAGAAAGTAATTCACTTTGTCCCCACCAGATTCTTCTCCTTTCACTTTTGAGCAACTTGAGTATATCCTGTGCTCTTTTGCATTAAGGTCTGGAAATAAAATTTTAAAAAAAAGAAGAAAAAAAGGACTGGAAAATCCTTAATCCAAAGAGTTCCTGTTTCTTGTCACAGCCCCATTCCTATCACCAGCTGTTAGGCCACAGCCACTGCCAGTCAGGAGCATATAATAATTTCTCTAAACATTAGCAAGCACCTGTTGTGCCACGTGTTTAGAAGCCTGGTATCCCCCACTCCGAACCCCAGGCCCCTCGCTTCACTCAACATATACCACCACCACATGCTCCACCCCAGACAGCAGTCTGGGCGATGAATCTTAGGTTCGCCCCTACTTATTCTCTGTCACCTGGAGAGGAAACTCTTTGCCAAGAGCTTGAGGTCTGTGAGTCCAATCTACCTCATCCCCTGCTACTCTTGGCTCCCCACGTAGGAGTGAGCCACGTACCGTCCAGCATCTCTGGGCCTGTCCCTCCTGCCAATGAGACAGCACTCAGCCAGACATATAAATAGGCAGTCACAACCGGAGAAGGCTCTCCTGCCAAGTCTCTGGCCACCTTGCCTGGCCTGGCCACCTGTGGGGCCTTCCTAAAATTCCAATCTGGCCACATCACTCACCCCGCTTAAAGGCCATCAGGTCCCACCTCTCCCCAGGGTCTACAAAAGAAAACCCACACTTCTCAGCACGGCTCACCGATCGATCCTTCAGGATCTGTTCCCAGTAGCCTCTGCAGTGCAAGGCCTCCCATACAGAACGACTTGTAGTTTCCCAAAGTCATTCTGTTTGGTATTGCGTGCCCTTGGGAAGTAATTGTTTCTTGGTAATTCTGAGACTAGCTGCCCTCTTCTTCATTACCTGCCTGGGGTTCTGGGGCTCCTACTCTTGAGCATCAACAGTCAGCAGGGACAATGACACTCTGCTGAGGAGCAGGAGACTCTGGCATCATCTTCTGGGGTGACCTTGGGGCAGCTGCTCCCCCTGTCTGAGTCTTAGTCCTCCAGCTGAGAAGAGGGGATAAGATAATACCCACAGTTCTCTGGCTGCCATTGGAAATAATGCTGCCTTTGTGGGTACCCATCCCTGCTTCTGCCTCCTGCCACGAGGCTGACTTCTGACACACACATCTTTCATAAGCACTCTGAGAGAGAGAGAAACGGAAGTTAAAAAACCGGCAGCAACAAGCCCCAGCGTGGCATTTTGGGTAACTACTCACGAGGGCTTGGTTGAGGAGGAAGCAAAAAGAAAGGAACTATCAAAGAATGTTGCTCTGAACATTGTTGAAGGTGCTGTCACCTCTCAACTCCATGGGGAAGAGGGGAGGCCAGTAGAGGGGAAAGCAAAGGAGGCATGCCAGAGAGTGACCCGGAAGCAGACTTAGCCCCTTAAGCAGACCCCAGCCGCCTCCCTCTCCTTTCCCTGCTCTCAGGCACTAATGATGTGACTCTGAGAGAGGGCTCTGACCCCTGAGTGTCCGGGCCTGTGTCTACTAAAGTGGAGAGAGCGTGACTGTAGCTGCCCCACTTCTCTTTCCGGGACTCCAGACATCTGCGGCCAGGCTGAGGACGCCTCGGTAGGGAGCTGAGGCGGGTATATTTGAGTGACAGCTAGCACTACCCAATGAGTCACTGACGTGGTGGAAGACATCAAATTAGTTATCCCTAAGCAGGTGACCCAGTATGAGGAGATACTGACACACCTTCTTA